ATACGGCAGACCGTACAGTATGCCGTATACGGCAGTACAGTACTACTGTTTTTGGTCTCTACCCCAAAAGAATCCCAAGGAAAACCCGAGGCTGCGGCACGGGCAAAGACAAAACGACTGTCGTTGTCGCGCGCGATGTGCTTCTCAAAACACGCGCTACGCCAGTTACCCTGCGCTTCTATAGCATCTGGTGACGCTCCACATTCGGACGCGAATGTTGCACCACCGCGCCGGAAGGAATGAATACTGAACCTCGAGCCATCATACCCAGCTGCCTTTAACGCAGTATGTAGTAGCTGTGTGAAAAGGCCCGCTGATAATTCTTTCACTTGACTACTGTTATCACGGTAAAAGAAACTGATCGGTGGGTGACCTTTATGCACTCCAGAGTCACGCAGTTCCAAGAAGGCTTTTGTGGGGCAAAATGGTGAATCGGCGCCCATCGGAAGTGGAATAAGAACATTATTTCCAATATATTTGCTTGTTTTCATAACCGGCGCCGAAACGAACAGGCTATTTTTTCCCACCGTAATATCCCGAAAGCAAATGTGCAATCGATTTTTCGGTGCAGCAAATAGGTTACCCTTTCGCAATAGCGAAAAGAATGCAGAGGCATGCCGTCCAAAACGCTTTCCGTACTTCCGCGGGAAGTCGGTGTAAGACATTGTAGATGCCTTTTAAATGCCGTGTTAGAATAGGAGGCTTTTCATCTGGAAATTCCCTGCGCTGACGGCGCACTCCCTCCATGGCTTGCTTAATCACAAAATGCTTAAGATCAGATGCTGGTTTGTTACGAAAATGATGCAACGTCACAATGGCTGCCACATAATTTTGGACCGAAGAAAATTCAAAGCTGCCTGACAGCTCAGCAGTGTACAACCCGATGGTGCGCGGCTTTGTCGTTTTTGGTTGTAGGCGATGACGATCGCAAACGGTTAAGTATCGGCACCACTGAACTTTCCTAGTGCGAACGGAGGACGGCGCCAAAGCATTCAGCCGCAACGAGTTCAGGATCCGGTTGAGAATGGCCGTTTGGGTACCTGGAACAGTAGTCATCTATCAGTCGCAGTCAACTCTGGCCAGCCCACTGTTAATGCAGTCAACAACGGTTGACCTATAGATGTTAGCAGGGGTGATGCGGCTCAGAGCATCTGCAAAGCTGTTATCGGTGCCAAAAATGTGGCAAGCGTCCACCTAAAAAGCATGCTGGCACGAAGCATAAAATACTAACTTCAACCACTTTATAGCCTCCAGAGATTTGCAAGAACCGCGTTTTAAAAAAGCAACCGTGGACGAATTATCGCTTTCAATCAATATCGTGCAACCACTGAACGCCGGTGCCCAGACCAAAATCGGGATGCAAGCGGCAACCATTTCCAAATAATTTATGTTCGTTCGTAAACTATGATCAACCAGCGGCGGACGAACAAAATTTGTCAGCACGCGTAGGTGATGGGAGATATCCGCTAAATCCCAACTGCCGGCTAACCAGCTATTACCCAACGTAGCTTCAAATCCCAAAAACGACGCGTTCATTGAAATGCGAATCACGCGGTGTGGCTTGGAGATTACACACTGCGTCATGCTATTAAGCTGCGGTGCGACTGTTTGCCACCAAACCAACCCACTGCGGATTAGTGCAGTTACTCTCAATCTGTGATGAAGCCGTTGCAGTTGAGTAACTGCATCTATAAAAATTCGGGAAAACGCCCGTGCGCCTTCCACCGCTCGCGACGCTAAACAAATTAAACCCAGTAACGACTGCAATTGAAGTTTACTAAGCTTTGCGTTATTTTCAAATCCAACGAAATCTATATGGTAACTGCATGCAGCTGTCAAGCCGGTGGAACATCGTGAATCGCCCATGTTCCACCGGTTAGTGAACCGACCGGTTACTTGCGTCAACTCAATAGCAAAAAATACAATGCGCCATTCTTATTTTAGAGCCATTGCGCACTATTGTTCGTGATCGCCCTCTGAACCGAAACTTCCGAAGGACGATATGTCGTTGCAAGCATTCAGGGCCTCTCCGACAGCAAAAGACAGAAACAGAACACCATCTGGATGACACCCTCGCACTTCGCAGCAGTGTAGCGAATATGTTCCAGATCGTCAGCAATACAGCGAAGGTGTCGGATATACACAATGTCGACAAAAACTCACAAAACATGGTGACTTTTCGAAAATTTCTAGAGTTTCGCCACCTCTATGAGCTTTCAGCAAAAAACTTAAAATTTTCAATTAAAGATTATGTTACCTAGAATTGAGTGCCTTGTGTGAACACTTTTACCTCTACCCAACACACTTTAAGGCATCTTGTTTTTGGCAACCAATCAGCGGACTGGTATGGGGCAAAATAGCCGGAAGGATATCCACCCCCAGACCGGGGCAAAATAGCCGTCTGGCTGCTCATAACGGAGAACTGGGGTAAAATAGCCAATAGGTTACCCAACCCCAGACTGGGGCAAAATAGCCAACCAGCTGTTCCGCCCCCATTAGGCAGTACTGGGGCTAAATAGCCTTAGCCCAAAATTTAGGATCTTATTAGTCCCGCTTTGCTACGCGGCGCTATTGGTGTTAAAGAAGCCGCATAGCCGCCTACACATTTTCGCTCTTTTGGTTTTGGTCTCCTAATTTTTGCGATAATGCAGTCTGGCAAGTTGACTTTTTGGGAAACAGTTGCGCTTTCGGGGTCATTCATTTCCGCAATTATGTGTATAAGTATTTTAAAAATGGATCTACTGTGCACTGTTGAATGTAGGCCCCTAAACTTCGGAGCAACTGGTCCGGCAGAAAGTCTGCTGTGGCTTGCAATGGCTCACTCGCTGCCGCCGTCAGAAAGGTTGCTGCCGGCAGAAAGCTGACACAGGCCGACAGAGAGGTTTGCGCAGCAATCAGCACCAGCCTTTCTGCCGAAATCCATCGAAAACGACGGAAAGGTTGACGCGGCTTATTTTACCTTCAACCCGTTTATACATCCGGTAACATGTACAGTATCTGTATACTGTATAATATTGCCGTCCTTTTGTCTCAGTTTAACAGAGAAGCGCCCTGTGGCAGCGGTTACGTCAAACTATCAGAGCTTCTTATCAAGGTAAAGATCTATATTACAAGGGAAAACCCCGTACGATCCGGTCAGAACAAACCAAAAAATTAATCGAAAAACTGCTAACGCCATTCGATTCAGCATGTCTGGAAACTGTGTCACATGCATTTTGCTTTGGTAATATCTGCTCCGGCTCCCGTGCACAGACGCCGGTGCCGGTAGAGAAGAAAGCTCAAGGTGACCTTGAAAAAAATTTCAAAGTCCTGTTGCATGGAGCAAAAAATCAGTAAATTTAAACTGGTACCCTTTTTAGATCAACAAATCAAAAAGGTTTGAACTTTTAGTCCTACAAAACTAGAAAAGCCAATAAGCAGTAGCACAAACGATACTGCAAATGGATGGCTTCGTTTACAGTTTAATCGTTTAAATGGATGGCTTCGTTTACATTTGAAGGCAGCTGTAAAAAAAACTGACCATAGTAATCGTTCAAACGGGCAAACCTTTCATTGCAGTCCGAGCAAAACTAAAGACAGTGATTCAAATGGTAATCAGCATCTTCAGTACGTAAATTATTTCGTATAATACGGAATAATAGTACGGTATCTAATTCTACTGTACATTCTAGATCTTTATTACCACAAAAAATAAAAAGGGATTCACGAACCCAGCTTTCCCGTATAGAATCAGCAGAAACCATTTCCATAATCTGAATGCCCATATTCCAAAACCCGGCCAGACGGTTTTAGTTTCACAGAGCCAAGCTGTGACCGAACTGCCACTACTATCCAGAGCACACAGCCCGCTAGGTAAACGAGTGACCGAACTACCACTACTATCCAGAGCACACAGCCCGCTAGGTAAACGAGTACCGAACTACCGCTGCCGTCCAGAGCACACACCTTAGCTAGGTAAACGAGTGACCGAACTACCACTACTATCCAGAGCACACAGTCCGCTAGGTAAACCAATGACCGAACAACCACTACTATCCAGAGCACGCAGCCCGCTAGGTAAACGAGTTACCGAACTACCACTACTATCCAGAGCACACAGCCCGCTAGGTAAACGAGTACCGAACTACCGCTGCTGTCCAGAGCACACAGCCCAGCTAGGTAAACGAGTGACCGAACTACCACTACTATCCATAGCACACAGACCGCTAGGTAAACGAGTGACCGCTACCAGCATCTGTTGCAAGCATCCTTTAGTGGAAATTTAGTACCTGGTAGATTCGATCAAATTCGGGAGGGAGAAGTTAACAAAAATTCCCTTCTGAGTGAAAGTGAATGCGTCTGAGTGCACAAAAGCCATAAATTCACTTTTTATTCTGTCTGCGTTTTAGCGTATTTTCGGATCATTTTGTTTCGTTGAAGGAATAAGATGTTAACTAAATAGCTGATCGAAATCATTTGAATAAACCGGCCGTAGACTGGAGACCACAAGAAAAGCGGAGGCGAAGCCGAGGCTGTTTCTTGTAAGTTATAACACGTCTTTTCCTTCTGTTCAGCCAAAATGCAATCTGTTGGTGTTCTCTATCTGACAACAATTTGTTTTTCTGTTCAGCGGTGTTACGGATTATATCACTTATCCGATTAATCCGAGTGAATTGTTAATAATTTGGCTGTGAAATAAAACTGACCCAGACAGGAGTCACAGAACAAGGATGCACCTATTCGAAAATGCTGAGCGGTCTGTGTATGCGTGGAACGCTGTGGATGTGGAGATTGACGGCCAGCTGCAACACGGCTATGTCGCTGGGCTCGAAGAAAACGGCAGCACTCCACTGCGCGTAATGGTCGATTTCGGATGCCCGACCCAACAGGCGGTGCTGGTTGCTCCCGGCAAGATCTGGGACTGTTTCACCAGCCCATGCAGTAACGCATGTGAAGGGGATCAGGTGGAGGTGCTACTGCATGACGGTCAGTAGCGCACTTGGAAATGGCACCCCGGCAAAATGATGGTTCCAAAGTTCAAGGAAATACACGGTGTGACGCTGGTGGAGGTGACGGTGGGCGGACAGCGGCGTCGCGAACTGATTCCCCACCGACATATTCGCGATCCGTCAGCCGATGTCGGCAAACCAGAACTCCATCCCGAGGACCATTTCGTGATGCAGACATGCAGTGTGCCGAACGGCTTCTGGCCGTCGTCTGAATCGGCATGGCTGCTCCGACAAGTTGAGCGACGGTTCGCTGTGCGATTTTTCAAGGTTCTCAGCCAGGAAATGCAATATGTGCAACGGCGCCACAGGAGGCCTTTACGGAAAGAAGATCTAGTAAGTCGTTACTGCTGATAGGCCTTCTTGTTGCAGCATTGAAGTTGAACTATTTTGTTCAGAATCTTAGCTGATTTGGCAATAGTGCTGGTAGCCGTGCTTGAATCTAGCATACCTGAGAAATAACCTAGGAAACCTAAGAAATACCGTAGCTTAAAGAGAAATCAAAGTCCCCAAAAAGGGAGAACCATTTCCATGACGACTATCAGAACCACTATTTTACCATTAATTAGAACTACACTGCTCTGTAGTACAGACTTACAGTAACAACTTTGCCTTCTCTTACCACAGGCGATTGTCTTCGAAGGAGAGAGAAATATTCCTTTATCTGTGTCTCACCGCAAATCACTCGAAGACACCGACCAGGCAGATAGTGAGCTAAAGCGGAAGAAACCGTTGTTTGCCAGTGACGGTCTGTTGGCATTGCCTTTGGAAGTACTGAACGAGGTCTTCCGCTCACTGGACACCGTCGATCGACAGCGCTGCCGTCGCACCTGTCCACTGTGGGACGCCATTCTGATGTCACCTGATCTGTGCAAAGAGGTTCGTGTAATGCTGGCAGGACATGGTGGGTCAGACCCTGTAAAGTGGGATTTGCATTACGCTGCGTATGTTTGCATCTTCAACCACATCACGCCCGCCACCCGCACCATCTGCATCCGCGATAGCGAAACGCCTTGCCCTAACCGATGGAGTCTCCGTGATGGCGACGAAGCGACGGACTTTATTATGAAGATTTTGGAGGACGCTGGCAGCCGCATCGACAGTTTAATTGTGTACCGACGAGCCATGACACTGTATTATGAGTCAGCTGGACAGCGACTGAGCGCGCTGTCCGCCGCGATATCCGCGCACATGTCCAAACTGCTGTTGTACTGTAATCGTGTGATTTGGAAAGATTATACCCTTTCTCTATTAAACCTGGAATTCCGCATGCCCGCTGCGGTCTTCGCTCTGGGACACGTCGATGCGGCGCAGATTGTGGATCTGTTGGAGCAGCATCTGCATTGGCGGGGACCGCCGTTGGATGTGCAACGCATTGACCATTTTATGGCGAGTCTGATCGACAACAGCGTGAATGCCAAGAAAGCGATAAAGGTACAGTATTGGGCTGGAACTGAGTCCATGGTGAACGGCATCATCAGCGATCATGTAATTTATGTTGAAGAAGCAGCCAGCTCTTATCAGAAGATTTGAACACCAAAGTTTAGGCCGATTATTTCCTTTCCTGTATTTTTAAACGAACGTATTGGGTAAAAGATAATTTGCAGTAATCTTTTGAAAAATCTAAAAACTTCTTGGCAGACCAGACTGATGATTTCTTGTGCTTCCTCGGGTGTCGAATTGTGTAACCAGCGAGATAATTCTGCAGATTCTCCGGGACTACCAATCCTGCGATCCGCGTCCGTCGGCACACTACCAAGGACGGGAATGGAGTGCGAACAATGCGTTCGCTATTGATGTACGCAAACTGAACCGATTCTGCTTGTACGCCTTATCACGCTTCATCTACAGCATGACGGCTTCTTAGGTTATTCTAAATTATTGTTAGGTTAGTCTTAGGTTTTTCTTTGGCTATTCTTAGGTTTCTAGGTTATTCTCAGGTTTCTTATGGTTCTTACCCTTCGCATTTTCTTAGTTAGTTTCTTTTTGAGGTCATGAATTTTTTGCTTATACCAGTTTGAATAAGCCTGATAAAAAAATTATCTGCTAAAATGGACTTTACGTCGAAACAGCCCTGCGGCAAAATGGCTCGGCGTCGAAACGGCCTGACGACGAAATGTCTCAAGACGTAATGTCCTGCCGGTTAAATGTCCCGCGACGAAGCGTCGCAAGGCGAAATGACCGTGCGGAGAAATGTCTGCGACGAGTTGACGAGTTGTCGACGGCGAAATGCCGCGGTGCCCGATTAAGTCTCGTTGAGACTCAGCCCTAATTCTGCAGGTGTTACAATGTAGCATTTTTTAATAATTTATGGTTTATTCGGTAATGCCGCAATAGGAAATAACTTATTTTATTATTTCTTTATAGCGATTCATGATAGGAAGAACGTTCGTTCGCATATCACTTGAAATGGCACGCAGGCAAAATAGGGAAAGAAACTTTTGGAATGTCCTTTGTATGTTCATCGGATCCCATCTGTAGAGAAACACCAGTTGACGTCTTCCTCGTACACTATTCCGGCTGCGCTCTGGTTCTAACACGGCAACCAATACCCGGCATGTACATTCCGGATATTGGGTGCTGGGTTTTTTCGTACCATAATATTATTATAATTGTGCAATTAGAGCTAACAACGCCTGCTTCTTCTGAAATCATTATTGTGTGCACCAAGAACGATCAATTTTTTAATGAAGATCACAATTCCAGACATTTGAAGATACACAGGATGAACGGAATTTAGCGCGCCTGTATTCGGGCATATTGATTAAAAGTTAATTAGGATGTATTAGGACTGTGCGTTAGAAACTGGTCTGATCCCACTCCCCGCCAAAAACAGGGTTTCGTTAAATCGTTGTTTATGCGGATTCCCTAATTTCCAGAAGTCAGACGATGCTTGCCTCCTTAATTTGCTGGCATTGATTTTTTCCGGTAAAGTTGTTTGAATGCGGATACTGGATACTTGAATGACTACGATTGTGATGCGCATCCCACGCCATTTGAGTAGTTGCATTATGGGATGCAAAACGCATTCGCCCACCATGAGCGTTTATACGCCGTTGAACACTGCCCTTATTCCAGGAAGAGCGAGAAGCACTCAATCCAAAGTGCGTGCGACATTTCATTACACTAATTTAAAATTGCAACGCTGGGTTTTTTATTACACTAATTTAAAATTGCAACGACACTCATTTAAAATAAAGCATCCGGATGCCATGATCATCAGTGTAGAAAACGTATCCACCAGCAAACCAACTACGTTGTTTTGTCATTTTGTGGTAATTTTATGATCAGACATTGCCAATTGCGCCAGCCACGCAAAGATCACTCCGTCACGTCCTAACATCAACATGAAGGACTATTTCAACATGACATTGTCTCTCCCTGTACAGAAAAATGCCTCGGTGATATCAAGCAGTCAAAATACGGCAGGTGTGGACGATAGAGATTTTAGATTATTTAGAGACGCTGCCGTATATCTGTTCATTTTAATCTCAAATGGGACACTGCTGGTGACATTCCTAACCAATCGAAACCTGATCAACGGTTTTGTCATTTATGTCATCAATCTCATGATCAGTAACCTGTTTTGCTGGTGTGTTTGCGTTCTTCCGTTGGCAGCCACGTGAGATTTTATGCAAACGACGGCTTCCGGGCGATCGTCGTGTGAGTTTTATTTGTACGGTGCTTGGCTGCTGCAGGGTGTGGCGACATACTCCCATGTTTGCATTTCTTTAAATCGATTATGGGCTATCGGTTCACCGTTGACCTATCGTAACTATCACTCTTGCAAGTTTGCCATTTACATCTGCATTGTATTATGGGTATCAATGCATGCGCTCTGCTTGCCAATTATTCTGCGGAATTCCTTTGTATTTGAGAGAGCTCGCAAGATCCCTTGCATAGCGAAGATTGCGGAAGAGAGGTTTGCTATGGTGTACTACATGCCACTAATTTTCTACATCCCCACCGCGATCGTACTGTTATCTTTTCCGTGCATTATCGGCCTTAATGCATGGCGGAGTCGCAAGCTACACCCTGCTATCGGAAATACCTCCAGTCGTCCGCATGCTGTAGCTGGGACTACTTGGCGAAAAAATCAGTCGCACGCCCTGTTGGCACTTACGGCGATGACCACCAGCTTCCTCGTCTTATGGACACCCAATAATGTTGTACAATTGTTGGCACGTCAGACGAAAATTGTGATCCCTGCCTGGCTGATTGGCATGGCGTCGCTAGCGTACAGTATTCCTTGCAGGCAGTCATGGATCCGCTTTTGTTTGCTGTTTGTCTGCATGATGTACGGAAGACCTATCTGATAATCATACAGAAATGTCTCAAGAAACGATAGAAACTATATTGCACAGCCAGCGGCCCAGCATCTGTAGGAGTGTTATTTGCTTTTCCCTACGGTGTGTTGGCTGTGGGATTAATTAAGATAAGAATCCTTATCCTCTACATTTTACCGACGCCATCTCATGGTCTGAATCATCTCGAAACCAGTCTTGGTGCTGCTTGCTCAGAATCTTGCTAATTAATTCTTTTTTCTCTGGTATGGCTCATAAGTTCTCTTCGCCCGCCATCTCGCTCCATATACTTGCTAATAAACTCTTGCGTATACCTTGCACTACGTAACCACAGTGGGATGAACGTTCATCCCAGCCTTTGTCACATGGGCATAAGGTAATTTTCGGTTGGAAACAGCAGCTACTCCGTCGCCTCCGGCATGTGTCTGTCACCAGCAGAAAGGCTGAGGGGAGCTGCATCTCCGTTTCATGTACTGAATTTGACTTACTCGAAACTCGCATTGCGCTGTGAATTGTGCCGTATGCTGGAAGCAAATTTGCCAACACACGGTACCGCTCCGGCGAGCCTGACTGCATGGATACATGAAACTGCCAATCGGAAGAAACCCGGTTCCCGTCAGGCAGTAGAAGAGGTCAGTACTTGCCCCATACCTAAAGGTTGTTCGTTATAATGCGTTACAAAGTACGGCAAGCACAGTCAGTGACGTAATGCAGTCCCTTAAAGCAGATTTTATGCGACTTCCAAAACGGTGACGAACGTGACGGTGTCCACTACCAACAGCGCAGTTGGACCGCCGATGAACTGCGCGCTCTGGATGTGTCCAAGTTGACCAAACTAACGCTGCACGCATTACATCGCTTGATGAGGGAAAGTCAAAGGGTTTCAGTGGATGAAGGTCAGCAAGACAGCCGATAGTACTATTCATCCAATGATACTAGAGTGGAATGCCTTTGCTGATGAAATTATTTACAGGTCTCCGTAATGACTATCAGGGCCCATTTCTCGCCAGTAATTCTTCGTGGCACTATTGAAGAACGGTGAACCGAAAATTTTCGGACGCATCCAGAAATTACATTTATGCGTGTCTGTAGTGTTTTTGCTGCTGTAATCGGAAGATTTTTTTCAACTTTTTGTGAATGTATGCGCAATAAGGTTGTACTGGAATTTAACATACTTGGGGAGACTGCGTGTTTTTTGCATGAGACTGGGATGTTACGAGTATGTACGTGTGCGATTCATGGCAGACGTTAAGTTCGTATAAATCATCAAATTTCTATGCTCCTTGTTTGCGTTCCGACGTTTATCGCATGCTGGAAGCGCATTTACCAGCAGTGAATAACCATCAAGTTCGCCTTACCTAGCTTGTACAGCGTAAAGCTACTCTTTATTTATGTACATTGTACACTACATAATCCCTATGCCATTTATGTCTATACCGCCGCGTACCTAAGAAATGTCGACTTACGAAAGTAAAACTAGCCTTTGTGTCGGGCAAGTCCTAATCATTTTCGTCTCATCCGCTGATATCAGCACTGTTGTCGCTGCCCCCTCCAAAGGCCATTACGCAAGTTCAACCCTTTCGCTTGCGGATTTTGTTTATCCAGTGAAAGGGATCAACAGTTACCGCACTCCAAAAAGCCTGTAAGGCGTCATCACATATGCCCGATGCTTATATTTCGTTATTGTCTGTTTGGCAGACTGATAACTCATACCTGTATCTCAGTTTCTTGTAGAAAGTTTCTTAAAAATTCAGAATATCATTTCTACCTTTCAACATCATTCAGTAAGCCTACAAATTGCTCGGAAACGCGACAAAAATTTGTATGAGTAAAAGTCGTGATTACCTTTATAAAATTTGGCATAATATATTATTCCTTTGAAACAACGTTGGGTTTGACGTTTTGGAAAGATACAGACAATTTTCATCAGACTGGAGTTAACTGAAAAAAATCTTTGTTAAACATAACAAAGATACAAATTTTCAAAGGTAGAGCTACTTTCTCACAATCAGAATGACAAAACTCATCCGCTACCCAATTACAGCCGCCCGTTATGGCAGCGTCATTCGGTTGCATATTGAAAGTTCGAAATTTTCAGTACAGTACATCGTGGATCGTTCCGATAAATTTTAGCGACTTGTCTGTCGCCCAAAACTTGATTTCTTACATTGAACTAGGAGCACGAACTTCGATTTGAAAATGCGTAACCCTTGCATTTAAAATCAGTTTATATGCTAGTAACAAGTGTCGCGTTCGAATAGATTTGGCTTATAATCGCGCAATTTAGGTTTACCGTTCAAGTGGCTTTGAACGAGAAATAGCGTCTGGGACAGCAGAATCGTTAGTGGAATACTTACTGCGGTTCTTCTATTCAGGATGCGTTTACTTTGCAAAACCTCGGGAATCGACAGCTGGAACGCAGTGGATGTGTTAACTGATGATGGTCAACTGCAGCATGCACACGTCGTCAATGTCACGCATAATGGCTACATCCTGGATTTCGACTGTCCCGGGAAACGTGCACAGTTTATGGACCACGAAATCCGCGACAAGCTTTTTCAGTGTTCGCTGTGTATAGCTGGGCATCGTGGTGAACGGAGCAGGGGATTAGACAGGGTCGCGCGCGCGGGTTCCAGCGAGAAAATCCAG